TAGGGTCTAGGGTTCAGAGTTGGGGTTTGGTGTTACTCTTAGGGTCCAGTCTTGGTAAAGGCATGTCAGGATCTAAGGATTTGGGTTGAGGGGGTTCCAGGTTTGGGCTTTATAGGGCCTGTTCAGGCGTTGAACTCAGGGATTACGCGCACAGGGCGAACATTGCTTGCTTTAGGAATGTACAGCCATCACCTCCAGAGACCCTGTGTACACAAAGCCCATGGGACCATGGGTAAGTAATATGGGGGGGTTATCTAGGGATAATGGAACAGAAAATGGAAACAACTCTTTAGGGTTTGGGGTTTAGGGTTGGGACCATAGGAACCTATCCCTCTACCTCCAAACCAAAGCTAATTCAGGGTTATCTTGAGCTTTGGCCTTGCTTGGAGGCCGCGGGGTGTCAAGGCGGGGATGGCATAGGATCCGGAAATTCTTTTCAACCGCAATCATCTCGCATCCTGCCTTGTCCGGGCAAATGACCTTTTCAAGCCTCAAACATTAAGCTCCGAATGGAAATCTCACTCTGCATGAGCAGGTATCGATTCCGTCAGCGAGTGGATTTTCGCTGTTCTGGCCTTTGTGGAGGAACCACTGGTTGCTGGGGCCTCAGCTCAGTACTTGGAGGGTCAGGGAGACTACTTAGTAAGTAGGTTAAACGTGTGGCTAGCTATGGTTATTGTATTAAAAGCAGTAGGGCCTAGGTCCTCATCAAGATCAAGCCCAGACCAGGACCCTCATGAGACACTCTCATGCCGAAGTGCTTCAATCCATTCATTAAGTAGTCGTTCAAGGCGGGCCGACAATCTCCTTGTCATTCCTACAGCTCCCTACTTGCAGGATTTTTGAAGGCTCCAATTTTGGAGGCATCCTATCCCGGCATCGTTTTGTTGAAAGGACATACAGTAATAGGGGATGGAACCCCTCGTATTGGCAGATGACTGCTTGCGCATCCCACCGCCCGAATACTTTGCCAACCTAAGCCCAAAACCTTAGCCCCAAACCGTAATCGCACACTAGCCCTGTGCATGTGCGTCTACAGTCCCACTAACGCACTATGTAATTTCTAAACACCCTACGAAGTATGACCTCAGCCGTTGCAAGGATGACATTCAGTATCAGTTGCAGCGTTTACGCCGCATTTGCTGCCGTTTTGCTGCAGTGGCTGAGACTGCGGCCTCTAAGGCCCTTGGGGAGGAATTGGGGGGAGTGGCTTTTTGGAAGTCCTGCTGTTTTCTGGATTAGTCCGACGCGTGCAGTCACTAAGTACACGGTGTGTGTTCCGCTTTGGCGGGAAACCGATTAGGCCATAGCGATGTTGGCATGCAGGTGTTGCGTCAGTATATGTTAGTATAGGAAATGGAAGCATTTCTGTGTCGTGAGGGCTGTTCTGGGGCCGAGTTTCATGCAGAAAGTCGGGTTCGTATTGTGTTTTACAACACGAATTGGAGTTTCAAGTGCCCCCGCAATTTCGTTGGAACTGCAAGAAATGCATGCCGTTCCTCACAGACACAAGGCGGTGATTGACACAGGCTATCTTTTTCAAGCAAGTTTTGAAACTGGAGCCTTGCGTTAGCCGCAGTGCAACACGAACAGCTGCTATTGCACACCGGGGTTCAAAACACCAGGGCACTCAGCTTGGCCGGCAGCTTCAGCGTCCACTAACTTTGATCCAAGATTTCCAGAGCATGCAGGAGCTGACTAGCTGCCACCATGACGGCCAAATGCCGTCGGCGTGCACTCTTAGCCCAAGAGGCAAGCAACAAAGGAAATCCTGGCATCGAGACTCTAGCCACAAAGTCTCTCGAACCGCGCAGGCTGTTGCGTCAATGGTGTAACGCAAACAAGCACCATTTGCATGTTGTCCAGCTCCTTCAAACGGCATCTGCCAAAATATGTGTTCCCTCTGTCAGAGGGAGACGCAGCCAAGCAGTCAGTCCAAGCAAAGTTGCAAGAGCAGCCGCAACGAAAAACACACAGAAGCAACGCAAGTTGCAGTGGAAGGGGTCGAACTGGAGCTGGCTCATATAGAAACGATAAGAAGCAATTAAACGCATCTGATGTCAGCAACAGGCTCAAGGCGATGGAGAGCAAGGCAGGGTGAGGGCCAACTTGAGTGTTTGGGCTTTGGAATTCATGGGGTTTGGGTCTGATGGTTTGCAGTTTATAGAGTGAGGGTTGTGACCAAACATGGCTGGGTCCCAGTGCATGGGAACTACCTGCGAAGGGTTTTCCCGGGCGTTATATACGGGGATGTGGTACTGGGCTCTACCTGCAGAGTGTTTCAACGGTGTTTTCGATGTAGCAAGTTTAGATTGGAAAGAGTGTTGAACGTGGCCAGCGGCATCTAATTCATTTTCCTGTGCAGTCCAGCTGATCCACTTCTGTGCCATTGCTGGGATTGTCATGGGAACTTGGTAGGCAGTTGAATAATGGGGACCACGGGGGGTTGTTTAGAACTTATGTGGCTAATCTTACTGGTTGCTAGTAGGGAATAAAGGAATATGATCCCTATACCCTATACAATAAAATCCCAGGTTCCCTACCCCCAGCAAGTAACTGGGCTTAGTCGTACACTTACTAAACTCCCCCTGACCCTCCAGGACAGAGATGCAATAAGAGACCCAACTCTGGTCCACAGGTGTTTCCTAAGGTTATATAGGTGTTATATAGGGGCAATTTACGGGTTATGTAGGATTATATAGGGGGTAGATAGGGTTTAGGTGTTCGTGTCTAGAGTCACCTTTTTTTATGGGGTCTTGAAGACAGACTTCAAGCCCTTAGGGTCCCTTATGGCCCTCTACTTTGAGGAGTAACTCTAAACTCTTAACCCCACATACTCCCTACATAACCCCTATATAACCCCTACATAACCCCTACATAACCCCTACATAACCCC